AAAATGTCTTCAAGAAGGAAGACTGCAGGGCTCACATCCCCAGGAAGTCCCACAAGTACTCGGGCCGTGACAAGATACAGTTCCCCTGAAAACAATAAAGTCTCTACCATCTTTCTTGGAAGAAAGGACTGCTTTTCCAGAAACTACTAGCAATTTGTGTCCTATCACGAGCCTGAATTGGGTCATGGGTTCCCCAAAGCCATCATCCTGACCACGCAGCGGTCCATGTTAAGTAGGACGGACCACTTGGCTCAGTTATCCAGGGGTGCCATTGGAGCCTAGGCGCAGGACGTGGGAGCCATTGGAGGAGGTGCAGGCTGCGGAGGCCCGTTGGCTGTGGGCGTCTGCTTCCCAGGCACCATGCCCCACCCGCAACAGCCAACACGCCATAGTGGGGCCTAACAAACGCCCAAGGGGAGACGTAGGTCTGAGGGAGACGTGTGAGACTGGCCACGAGATCAGTACATGGACTGGGGGTGGGAGCCCGGCGTCCCGCCTGGTTAATGTTAGCTGGCAGCCGCCAGGTGGGCAGCAAGGGGCAGCCACCAGCGGCTTATTCAGCAGGCAGCTGCATCCTTGAGCTGGCTGCTCACTGGGGGGAATGTCACATGAGGTGGCAGAAGCACCGATGAGCAGGGAAGAAGCTTCTGGAAGGGAAGTGTGCAAGGGCCTTGTGCTGCTCGCACCACGCTGAACAAGGTCCAGGGGCTGGTCACTCCCACTTGGAGCCTCACCTGCCCTGGGCTCTGGGCCAAACTGTGACCATCTTCATGCTCACCCCTGCAGGTGTGTCCTGCGGGACCGCCCCCTTCCCGGGGTGATGACCCAGGGGAGACCCAGGCAGCTGAGGTCGCATCAAGGGTGAGACCTGTGCCCTGTATTTTTTCTGGGGAGGGAGAAGGACCCACCTTTCCCGCTTCTCAGCCAGTAGAGACTGAGTTCTGCCGTCTTTAGGCTGCTTTGAGTCTCCTCCAACCAAGCCATTCAAGGATGCTCACGTGGACAAGCTCACAGCAGTGGGGCTCAGACCCTGGATTTGAAGAGCTTTCTGTTTGTTCCATGCTAAGAATGAAGCTAAGAGAGTGTGAGTTCTGGAGCCCCCGCAGCCACCCTGCAGGCATGACACATCAACCTGCCTCAGAATAGAAACCACACAGGTTGGGAAGTGTCGGAGAGATAGCTGGGTGACAACGCACTAGTCACAACCCTGACCCCTCCAGCAAGTCCATGCATCCCTCTGCACCTCGCTGCTTTGGGCTGGCTTTTCTATAAGAGCAGATGGTGCCTGGTATCCATGCCCATAACAGCACACATATTGGTAACATACCCAAGACACTGTGGCCAAGCCTCATGTGGCTGCTCAGGTCCTGTCCCCAGAAGCTGTGAGCAGCCCAGATGTTGAAGGTGTGGTGACCATGGATGCAAATCCTGCAGGCGGCCAGTCCTCACAGCGGGAGAGGTGGGGTCCAGATAAGACGAGCTATCTTGTATGTGCAGGTTCCTCCAACTTGGGTCTGTGCGAGGAGGATTCCTGGGGTATGCAGGAGCCCTTACAGGGCAGGTGGGGACCTCCCTGCCTCCTTGCCGTGGTCCTTTAAGGTTGGGTGGATTCTGGACTGAGGCCCCTCCCCTGACCCGAGGCCATCGCTGACCGGCAGATGGGCATTTTCCATGGTGTAGGCATCCCTTCTGGGGTCACCTACCTGGCCACCCTTGTGCAGGCCATACAGACATGTGTCCCTTCACAGCTGTCCACCTGCTGCTGGGCAGAGCAATGGGTTAACTTCCAGAACACTTTTGTAGCAAAGCAAGACAATTCAGTTAACATAAAAGAATTGGTTTCCTGCTATAATAGTCTCTGGGAATTCACTAGAATAGCATGTGTGGGGCCAAGGAGGTTGGCTGGCCCTGGATGGGTCCTCTTCATCCATCGGGCTATGCCCAAAAATTCCTGGGTGCTCCAAGACTTAGGGAAGTGGCTTCTGATCCATTCCAGGAATGCTGGGCCTTCAGGGTCAGAGCACCAGCGCCCTCGTGTGGCCAGGAGAGGTGTCTGCACTTTCTTCTCTCCCCAGTCCCAGCACTTGCAGCTGGAGCCTCACTGGAGGTTGAGGGGGCAGTGCTTGGCACCTGCTCCTGTCCCCGAATCTCACTCAGGCTCCTGTGTAACATGACGTGGCACAACCACCTGACAGGACGTGTAGCAGGGGTCAGGGTGTCTGTTTTCACCTTGAGACTCCCCCAGGACACAGCCAGGGAACCCCACACCAGGATGGTATCTGTCCACCCAGTCCCGGGTGCGGGTACCGCAAGAGTCCAAGGTCAGTTCCAGGGGAAGGAGAGGACTGCCCTTGCTCTGCCTCTGAGGGCTGGGGCTGGAAACCGGGTCTGGGCGCCTTCGCCTCAGGCACCTGCGACAGTGGGCCATCTTTTGTGCAACCATCCCTCCTTCCCTGTCGTGGATCCAGGTCCCACCTCAGGTGCTGCCAGCTGGGGGTGCCAGGCTGGCCAGGGAGCCCTGAGCCACAGCTCCCGCCCCTTCCTGCCTCAGGGTGTGTGTGTGGGGGGGGGACCCACAAACCAGCACGCATGTGTACACCCCACAGACTTTGTAGCTGCTTTTATTATTAATGTTATCTTCTCTTTTAAGCACCCCTTTAAGGGTGAAATGAAATCCAACCATTTAGAGAGAAAATGATTTCAGAATGTACATATCGATTTTTTTTCCTTACAAAAAAAATAAGACTCTTATGATTATTGATGTTCTTAAATTACACGCGTCCGAGGGCCACACCTCCTCGGGCAACTCCCCACCCCCACCCCAGCTCTCCCCTCGTCCCCTCTGGAGCTCTCCCCAACCCGTGCCTGGGGGAACCAGTGAATAGGGCCATGGTCCTGGCGCCAGTGGCTCCTGTGGAAAGAACCCTGCCGAGGGCACGTGTGTTGGCGCTCACATTCCACATGCTTTCCCTTCCTGGCGCGGGGGCAACCCTAGGGCCCACTGACCCCCAAGCGGGTGCCGTGATCACGTGAGACATGGCTCCCAACTGGCTGCTGCTATGCCCCTCTCCTTCAGCGTCACTGGCTCTGCAGATCTCTTACAGAAGCCAGACTGGGGTTTTAGGAATCCCGCTGGTCCTAGGGGAGAGGACCCGGCATGCCCCCTGGGGCTGAGGGTGCTTGGGCGCAGGGTGGGCAAGCTGCTGCACCCACTGGCCCATGGGGACAGCCCCGCTTCCGGGGTCATCCAAGAGGCTGCCACGATTTAAGAAGGGACTCCCCTAGGGTGTGATGGAGGGATACTGCGGGCCCTGGCCCCCTCCCTGGCAGCAAGCTCTGGCCATCAGGGAATGCCCCTAAAATACCCAGGAAGGGCCCCTCCACCCGGGAGGGGGAGAGGGAGGAGTGAAGGGTGTGGCTGGGGAGCTGCGGGCATCGGGTGTGCAGCCTGCTGAGGGCCAGGGCCTCTCAGGCCTTAGACTCCAGGACAGACAGATGGCTAGACAGACCCTGCCCCCTGACTCGGGTCCTGCGGCTCCCCGCTTCCACCACGGAATCCCGCCCCAGCCACTTTCCGGAGCTGGAGTGGGGGAGGGCCGGCTGGGCTCCCACATCCACACACAAGCATCTATTTACAGAGACACCTGAATGAAGACAGGTACAAAGACACGCCCAGCATGCACCCACGCCCGTCCGCTGACACACGCATAGACACGGACACCCCCAACACAAGCAGCCGCCGCGAGGGGGCCCTCCTCATCCCACCCGCTATGGGCTCACCCCAACTGAGCTACAGGGAGCAGGAGCAGCTGCTTCCACAGGCTCTGACCCATGCCGGCAGCTCCCATGACATCCCATGATGTCATCTGCTCCCCCATCCCCATTCGCATTCTCTCCTCCCTGCTGGGCACTCCGCAGCCCAGCTAGAGCTTCCAAGGCTCCTGGTGGCTCTGTACCACATCCTGGCCCAGGAGAGACCATCTGGGCTCACACCTTTACTTCCCTTTCCCTGCTACCTGCAGGCAGCAAGGTGCACCTAATGGTGGGAGCAGGAGCAGCCACTCTGGAGGCAGAAAGAACAGCGGAGTTGGGCTGGTGGCTGGATCCGCCTCCCCGGCCGAGTGGCCGCCACCACCTTGTAGCTCAGGGTCCCAATGACAGCATTAGAACCAGCCCCGCCTCCACACAGTGAACGAAGAGCAACTCTTTCTTCAGCCCAGGACAGCCTCCTGTCCCTTCCTGAGCGAGGCCCCCTCCCAACACACACGGAGGGGCAGGGCAAGGGGCGGGGACTGGGGGCAAGTGGGGTGGGGTGGATGGAGGGCGAGCAGGGACCATGCCAGAGCCTCTCCTGGTCTCTCTCCCTGTCCCCTGTTCCCAGCCCACCTGGACTCTAGGGCCCTGCAGGGACTGAACACGAAACCTCCAGGGAGAAGCTACCGGAAGGAAGCGTCTCCTCCCCCAAGGGCTCCCCGGGCTGGAGGAGGGGGCTCCACCGAGCAGGGTAGGGGCCCAGCACGGGCCTGGTGCCTCTTCCAGCTGCAGCCTGCCCCTCCCTCAGCCCCTGACCCCTGGGGAGGGCAGCTATGTAGACACACACCTCAGGGCTGCCCCACGGGGGGCCAGTGCCCGGCAGGTGGCTGCCCACCCGTGCCGCCTGGCCGCCTCTCCGCTTCCGAGGGACCAGCAGGCACTCTTAGCGAGGGTAAGGGGGTGGAAAAGGGCTGCATAGACCGCCTGCTACCTCTCCTACGGGAGAGATCAGTGGGTTTTTTTTTTTTGTTTTCTTTTTCAAGCAAAAGGCCTGACTCCTGATTGAAAAGGGGCTGAGGACGGCAGGGCCGTCGTCCCCTCCCCTCCCTTCCGGACCTCTCTAGGACCCCCAGGGGTGGGGCGGGCAGGGACAGGGGCAGGGCAGGAGCACGGGGCAGCCCCCACCTGCCACGGGGCACGTGGAAGAGGGCAGGATGACCGAGGACGCAGAGAGCTCACGGAGCGCCTTAGCCTCCCTTTGCGTCCAACCTGCCGCGGGGCGGCGGCGCGGGCAGCCGGGCCTCGGGCGCTGCAGCCCCCCGCCGAGCACCCCCGGCCCCGGCCGTCCCCGCCGCCGCCGTGCCGCGGGGCTCCGTGTAGGGGTTGTCCAGCAAGTATCGGAACTGGTCGTAGTTCTTGAGCAAGTACTTGGGTGCGTACATGTGTTCGCTCGGGTCGGCGGGCGGGTACTCCTGGCGCGTGCCGTCGAACCAGCCGCCCGTGCGGATGAGGCTGCGGATGTAGTTGAGGTCGCGCTTGTCCTCGTAGTCGCCCCAGCGCGGAAAGTCGCCGTTTTGGGCAGACACGAGCTTGAAGTAGATGCCTTCGGGCGTGAAGCACCAGGAGCAATGCCAGCCAGCGAAGTGCAGCGGGCTGCCCAGCGACCACTGCACCAAGATGTGGCCCGTGCGGTTCTCGTACTGTCGGAAGTTGGGCATGGTGTAGTACTGGCGGCGCCGCAGGCGGATGCCGTCCAGGCCGTAGACGGCGCGCAGCATGTCCACCGTGCAGCCCGACACCACCTCCAAGGTGCCTGGCTGCTTCCAGAAGAAGCCGTAGAGCGACTTGCGCATGTGGAAGGCGAAGGGCTCGGTCCAGCCGTCGTAGAGCTTGAGGAAGAGGACCCCGTCGCGCGCGGGGATCTCGTCCGCGTCGTCGATGATGAAGACGTCGTCGGGGCGCAGGTTGCGCAGGCGAGACACGCCGTCCTGCGTGAGGAAGGTGCGCAGGTAGTCATCGGCGATCCAGCCGTCCTGGCGGCCGCCCGGCGGGAAGTGGTCCAGGAAGACGTAGAGCACCTTGTGGCGGATGTACTCGAAGGTGCCGTTGGTCAGCATCTCACGGAACTTGAGCGGCCGCGGCTCGCCGTAGGCCGTGAAGTTGGACTCGCACACCACGAAGGCGTCCACCACGTCGCCCAGCTCGTGGAAGCGCACGTCCAGCAGGTCGAACTCGTGATTGACGTTGATGGCGTTGATGACGCGCCGCGGCACCTCGCGAGGCACCAGGCGCTCCTTGGTGGGCAGGTTCGAGTACTGCACCACGGTGGGCACGCCGCAGCTGGGCCCGTGCCAGCCCGGCAGGCACACGCACTCCACCCACTTGCGCCGTGGCGCGCGCTCCCGTGTGCTCGGGCTGTGCCGTGGCGAGCGCCGCGCCCCTGTCCCTGCCGCTGCACCTGCTGCCGCCACCGCCCCGGCGCCCTCGACGCCCTCGGGCTTCTCCTCTGGCCGTCCTGCTGCCGCTGCCCCAGCTGCCCCAGCTGCTACCGCCGCCGCCGCCGCCGCTGCCGCTGATGGCTTCTCCAGCATCTTGGTGCCCGGCTTGAAGCAGACGCCACCGGCCTTGGTGCGCACGAAGTACTCGGTGGTGTCCTCGGGCAGCACGAAGTCCACGCGGTGCAGCTCCTCGGCGGCCTTGCTGGGCGGCAGCGGCTGCAACAGGGGCGAGTGCGAGTAGAGAGGGGTACGCAGCAGGTCGGGGCCGGCCGGCTCCGCGCTGGCCTGCGGCGTGACGGGGGCACTGTTCCAGAAGAAGCAGGACACCAGGTTGGGGCTGAGGGAAGCCAGTTCCCGGGGGAAGGTGACATAGCTCAGCGTCTTAAAGAAGTGCAGGAAGGAGATGAGGCACAGGCCGGCCATACAGAAGAGGAGAAAGAGCTTGTAGCGTCTCATCTTCATCCTGCAAAGACGGGGAGGGGAGAGAGTGAGACGGGGAGGGGCCGCCCGGCTCCTGTCCTGCGAGGAGACCTGAGGACCACTGCCCACCCCTAGCGACTGCCTCCGTCCCCGGGACACTCCCTCCGCTCCTGCAGCCCTCCTCCTGGGGAACACACCTAGACCCAGCACCTGCCCTTCCACCTGCCACCCGACAGCTTGCACCACCTGGTTTGGCTCCAAGAGTAAAATGTATCCTGAGAAAATCTCAAACCGCAGTGGCGCTCACAGACCAGGAGGCACCTCCATCTGCACTGTCCCCTCCCGCGCAGCGGGACGCTGTGTTTCTGTATAACTTCCCTGTCTTCTTTCCCAAGGACACACCGACACACCTTTCAGGGTGAGAACAGTAAAATCCTCCCCTCGCGACCCCCTGAGGTGCCTTCGGCTGATTCCAGTTGTAAGCAAATGGACGTGAAGGGGTTTGTCAGCCACTATTCTGCTCTTGGTTAACTTTCAAAAATTTTGTTTTTAAAGATTTATTTATTGTTATTGGAAAGGCAGATTTGCAGGGAGAAAGAGACAAAGATCTTCCATCTGCTGGTTCACACCCCAAATGGCTGCAAATGGCCAGAGCTGAGCCAATCCGAAGCCAGGAGCTTCTTCCAGGTCTCCCACGCGGGTGCAGGCTCCCAAGGCTTTGGGCCATCCTCTACTGCTTTCCCAGGCCACAAGCAGGGAGCTGGATGGGAAGTGGAGCAGCCGGGATCAGAACCGGTGCCCATATGGGATACTGGCGCTTGGAGATGAAGGATTAACCAGTTGGGTCATCACACCAGCCCCAGTTTAACGTTTTTCACAGATTATCAGACCTTGAGTCCCTGAGGAAATGAAAAGCTTTCTGTATCCATGGAAATAAGAGCTGCTGTTTGCGCAGAAATGCTCTGCCACACTCCATGGCTATTTGTGAATGAGTCCCTCCATGTATGGGCAGGCTGACACCATCTATTTCTCAGTCACGCTGTTTATTCGTCCGTGGCTGTGAGGACTCTTGTATATATATATTTTTCCTAATTTAGATAAACCTCTAGAGTATTTGTAGTTGATTAGAAATGTTGCAAAAAAAAAAATCACTTCTTGACCTTTTGGCTAAAGCGAGGATCTTCTTCTCTGTCTCTCCTCTGCGTATCTTGACTTTCCAATTTAAAAAAATAATAAAAACTATTTTTTATAAAAAGAAACATTGCAAAAACAGGACACGGGATCCTGACATGCCTGGCCCAGCCTCTCCTGCTGCTAACGTTTTCAGCTGCATGGCACCTGTGTCACACCAGGAAACTGACCCAGACACGCCACCAGCCACCTCCACACGAGCTCTGGCAGGTACACGGGTGTGCTGGGTTACACCCATCTGGCCAGTGGGCCCAGTGGGCACCCAGCGAGTCACAGAAGCCCAGCCTTTGTTACTCTCCTTCCTTCCTCCAGCTCTTCCTCCGTTCTCCGGTCCTTTCTCAGGATTACAAGGGTGCCCTTTCTACCAGTGGGATGTCCTCCTCTGAGCAGGGGAATGTAGAGAGAAATACACACTGGATTTGAAGCAACTAGGACCTCACCAGTCCCCTCGCCATTCTGAACCCGACTTTACTTGTGTGCCATCACGGGTAAACTTCCCGGCAACGAGAAGCCACGATGAACAGGGAAGACACTCCCCTGAGTGTCCAGGTGGTTCTGGTGCCATGATACCCGCAGCTGCCCTCGGGCAGGGAGGACAGGACCGGGGCTGCCCCCTGCACCACCTTGATGTCTGGGTCTCCTCTCTCCACGTTGCATTAAGTGTGGCAGTTAGGGTTAGCATGCAAGAACAAGGGCATGTCCTGTGTCCCCTCTGTTTCCCCCAACACACAACCCCTCGTGCCAGGCCTGAGGGACTAAGCTGCCCCTGAAGTGGAGCGGGCAGGTCCTGGGGCTGCCACTACCAGGTGACAGCAGCCCAGAGTCAGGGTGGCCCTGCCCAGGTCAGCGTGACCCAGCGGCCTCTGCCTCGACCAGGCTGGCCTCCAAGATCTGGTAACCTTGGCCGGCTGCGGGGCCCATCTGAAGATATACTTACAGGTCCCCCTCTTGGCTCCAGAAAGCCTTCAGGAAAAGGCCTGGGGTGGGTGGGACCAAGCATGTCTCCCGACAATCACCTGGGGGCTCTGAGGCACCGAGGTGAGGCACACTTTCCCTGGGACCCCAGCTTCCTCGTCTTCATCTCCTCCTGGTCTGTGCGCCATGACCAGGGCTGCAAACACTAAGGAGCCGATGGGTAAAGTGGAATAAACAAATGGACTGGGATAGTCAGGGTTTCATGTGACCAAGCTACCCTAGGAGGTCCCTGTAAGTTCCTATTACCACAGACAGGGAAACAGATTCAGGGAAGCCAATGAGATCTGAAGGACATTAAGATGGCCAGGGACTAGCATTGTGGTATAGTGGGTAAGGCCACTGCCTGCCACGCCCACTTCTCATATGGGTGCCAGTTAGTGTCCTGGCTCCCTGTGGCTCATGTGCTCAGGCCCCTGCACCCACGTTGGGAGACCAGGATGAAGCTCCTGGCTTGGGCTGGCTCAGCCCTAGCTGCTGTGCCCATCTGGGAGTGAACCAGCACATAGAAGATCCCTGTGTCTCTTTCTTTTCAATAGAGAAACCTTAGAAAACGGCTTCCTAGACAGAACCCGGCCCCTGTCTTCTTCACGGAGGCTAACAGCAGTGTATGGCATGTGGGGTCCCAGATGTGAGCTGATGCTGTAGGACCCAGCCGCGCCCCAGCAGGTGGCGCTTCTGCCTGCCTTATAAGGGGTCACAGAGCAGGTGATGCTGCAGTCTGACGTGATTGGTTCCATCTTGGAAGTGCTAGGATCCCATAAGAGCACCAACTCATGTCCAGCGGCCCCACTTTCCATCCAGCTCCCTGCTTGTAGCCTGGGAAAACAGTAGAGGATGGCTCAAAGCCTTGGGACCCTGAACCTGCGTGGGAGACCCGGAAGAGGCTCCGGGCTTCAGATCAGTTCAGCTCTGGCCATTGTGGCCACTTGGGGAGTGAACTAGCAGATGGAAGATCTTTCTTTCCATCTCTTCACAAGTCTGATCTACCTTTCCAATAAAAATAAATCTTAGAAAAAAAAAAGTGTCGCAGAGCAAGTCAGGTGCAACAGTGAGACCAACGCGCAGTCACGGTCAGTGCCAGGCTGTGTCCTGAGTGTGTCGCACCCCTCACCTCCCGGACTCCCCCACCACGCATCATCCCCACGTCACAGGCCAAGGCCAGGGAGGTGACATAACTTAAACAGTGCCACACAGCGTCACACAGTTCACAAGTTCTATAGGGCCATCTGGTGGTGGAACTGTCCTACAGCCTTGCCATCTGCCAAGTCCAATGCAAGTAGGGGGATGGGACCCCCATAAAGAGACCACTGTGGACAGTGAAGAGAGCCTGGGAGGTGACACGGTCTCCAGCACATGGGACGCACACAGCAGCGGGGGACGGGTGTTCACCTAACTTGTGCTGCTCGTTTGCTCAACCACCACCGACGGAAGGCATGGTGACTGTGCCACATGGACGGACCCGGCCCCACGCACCTGCAGCCGGCACAGCGCGGGCAGGGAGGCAACCTATAGGCTCACATACACCCGAGGAGATTGCACTTGAGACAGTCACGCCCAGGAGAAGGACAAAGCAGAGGGGAGTGAGTGCCGTGATTGAACAAGCTGGTGGGGGCAGATGCCTGGAGATCCCTGACAGGTGACAGCTGGACCGCACTCAGGTGCACCTCAAGAACTGAGAACCCCCTGCCGCCAGGAGTCTGGGGGGAGCTGGTTGGCTAGGGGTTCAGTGCTCGGGGACTAGAGCCAGAGGCCCGCCCTCCCCGTGGGGAGCAGGGAAAGGCAAGTTCCTGTTCGTTCCTCCATCCTGGAGCTGCCACCCTCGGACACCAGGGTGCCAGGACTCCCACAGCTGGCTGCTCTGGAGCTGTTCCTTTTGGCATCTGGCCTGAGCCACACCACACGCATCCAGGCTTATGTGTAGATCGGTGTGGCCCAAGCCAACGCCCCTGACCAACCGCAAGTCATCGTCTGAATGCAGCCAGCTCCATTTCTCTGGAAAACCCCAACTCCCGCAGTGGTGTCTCAGCCCAGGTAAAGCAGACAGGGTCACGAGGGAAGGATGTTCCAGACGAGAGGGGCAGCTTACACAGGAGTGCCCCAGCCACTGGAAACATGGCCTTCACTGCCCAGCCCTAGGGGTGGGGTGGGGACTGACTTCGGCTGGAACAACCTGGGCCACCGTTAGACTCAAGAGCAGAGCAGGAGCAGCCGTAAGGAGGCTGCTGCGCCATCCAGGGGCAAGACAAGGTGGCTCGGGCCAGAGGCGAGTGGTGCAGGATGCAGTGGGTCCACCAGAGAGGTGTGCAGTCCGTAGCGAGGGGAGATCTACCGTGTCTGGGATGGAGAAGGCCCCCTCCCTGCACCCCTCAAGTGGAGGACACCGCACAGGAGCCCTGCATTGGCCACTGCTGTGCCCCCTGAGGCAGAAAGTCAAGGACACAGCCAGAGTCCCACACCAGCTGGCCCCAGCACTGGAACTTAAATGTTGGCCTCATCTGAACCGAAATCTCAGCTGTTCCTCCTGCAGCGCGATCTGTCCAGTCCACAGAACAACCGTGTGCAGAGCACCCTGTTTGGGGTCTGTGAGCCCCATGTGCAGGCTGGGAGCAGGAAGGAGGTGGGGTCACTGTTCAGACTGCTGAGTCACATTCCTACCCTGCTTCCCACGATATACTGGGCTTGACTACCTGCCAAACTCAAGGCCCGGTGAGAGCATAGATGCCAGGACCTGCCTGCAGATGCAAGCTTCACTGAGGACAAAGTGGGCGCCTCCCACGGGCTGGGCTGATCCCAGCTGTCCAGGGACCATGCGCGGGCCCTTCCTCAGGGCGCCACACTGCCCAGGGATGTCCTACCACCTGCTCTGCACTAGGGCT